CATGAGGAAGCCCACTCTACATTATCTGTGCAGGTCTTCATTCACTTACTGATGTTGAAGAGAATTTTTATTAAAAGTAGCTGTGAATGGACACGTGTTATAAAAGTTTAAAGCACAGGAGAAGTTTTCATAAATCCTGAAAACTATTTGATTACAAGTCTGAAAATAGACAAGTTGTTATCTGGACTTAGGTTATAATAAAGTACCTTTAAATTGACGATGCTGAAACTGATAGCATTATATACTATTCCTAGAATCCATGTTGCTTGCTAACACTACATTATTCTATTAATTCACTTTTATTCCTATAATGTGGCTTTTTTGTTAAATGTTTCTGTAGTAAGGGAAAATGATCTTAGATCATCAACTAGAGAAAATATTTATTCATTGCTTTTCAATTGGTAACAGAAAACTTAAAAAAATAAGATGAAGTAAAGAAATATCATTTTGTTGATTTTAGTTTTTATAATAAAATTTTGGTGTTTTTCACTAAGCATTTGAGTATATTGTTGAGTTACTTCTTTTGAAATTGCCATGTCACTTATTTGTATCCATGGCCAAAATAATATTTCTTGAAAGTACAATTCCCAAAACAATTGTTATCTCTGACATTTACTGCCTTGATTTGTATAGGCTTGGGAAGATTTTATGACTACTAGATAAGAGTTTTGGAGCTCGTGAGAAATTATTTGTTTATAATATTTGTACAATGAAAGGAAATAGCCCAGCAAGAAAACTGGTTGAAATGGCATTATTTTCCATGAACTGAAATTCAACAATTATTGTCATAGGAAAATCATAAAAGAAACTAAAAATATAAGTCTAACCAGTCAACTTAAAACAATTCAATATCTGAGAGAGCCTTATGATAGTGCAAACATCTATCATTTAATTTGATCCACTTGTCTTTAGAAGATAGTTGAGTGTTTTTGATCACCTGTTTCTATTATTTGATTATAAACTGCAAACAATATAGATATCTTTGGTAGTTATTGGAAATGTACTGTTGGGAAAAATAGAAAGAAGAATGTTCCTGATATATTATTGGACTGATTTGAAATATTCCTCCTTCCCGATCAGTCATCTGAGGGAGCAATAACAAGATCAATATGAATAACATTTTCAGCTCTGTGTCGAAAAAGCAGCAAGCTAGGCCTAACTGGTGGTGACATAAAGGATTTAGTCTCAGCACTATGAAGCTATCCACAGCCACTACAGCACAAGTTCTAACTCTGGTCAGGGAGCTGACCCACGAGGCATAGCAAACCTCTCCTGTCTTGCTTGCTTCTCCCATCAGCAGTGTATTTCAGTAGATCTACTTGTTCTGTTCCCCCACCCTGTCTCTGGTGAATCATGCCCCTGCAACTCTGGCCCACACCCCAGTTCTTATATTCATAAATTAAATAAGTATGTATAAATAAATAAAATAAACATAAGTAGTGTTATTCTCAAAAAAAGTCTTTTCATGAAAAATAGTTATTTTCATAAAAAATGTGATGTAAATTGCTATTTTTAAGTGAGCTAATAATAATTTTTAAGAGTATAAAAGAATGTAGAGACCAAAATATTTGACAACTGTTACTTTAAGAATTACAGTAAAGAAGAAAAGCAAAGAATTATAGTAAAGTAGAAAATCAGCAAAGACAGTCCAAACATCTCCAATCCCTGATCACTCTGCAGAGATTTGGTTTCCACTTAAGAAATCAGTTAATGAGTTTAAAATACCACTGTTTTTCACTTATGCAAAAACATGTCCACAAGCATATATTTACATTTTAAAACCTTGGTAATTTGCACTAATTTATGTATATAAAGTTTCAGTATTAGATTTTTTTTTTTTGGTAAAGAAATGTACTTCACTAAACTATGCTAAATGAATTTATAAAAATGCCACCCTGAAGAAAACAGCTTTACAAAATAAATTAAAATTTTAATTAGTTTATTGTCATGCTTATGATACTTCTAAGATGCTTGCAAATTCCTGATCTTTATATTTTAAGCGTTTCATCAGAATTCCTTCTCATATTATCATTTTTTGACCTGATTTTCAAGAAAGTGGGAAAGTAACCATTACCCGCCATCTGTGCTATTATCTCAAACTCTGAAGCAGCAGAATTGAAATCACCATCTTTCCTTTCACCTAAGGTACTAGTGATTGAAAGGGTAGAAACAAAGCAACAAATAAACAAAGCAAAATGTAAATCTGCTTAGAAAGTTAGCATGCGAAGAGCTCCACATTAAAATGAAAGTAGATGAAAACAAAATCCACCATCAGCAGTGGGCTTCCAGAAAGTTGCAAGTTTCAGTCCACATTAGATAAAGGAAGGCAACAGTAACAACAGCAAGTCTGTAAGAACTTAACCCACAAAACTCCCTTAACTACAGTTACAATTCATGCATGCAGTATGGTCAACACTACGGTATAGAATGGAAGCTGTGTCCCAGGAGACTACTGGGGCAAAAGTCAACAGTCCTGTAATAATAATGCCCTCGATTATAAGAGAAGCAATTTCATAAGTGTGGGTAAGCAACAAAAATGCATGTCTTGGAAACAATGAAATAGAGTAATTCGAATTTACTGGTATCTAAAATTTAATTTAACATTTCTCACAAAATAATATTGTGTTATATCCCAATCACTTTCTCAATGGTGATCATAAATAACAAACATTATTCTCACAAATGGAACACGGAGAAACAGAAGCAAACATTGTATGATGACAGGTAAACAAATTTTGCTGTCTTCCTTGATTTTTCTACATTTTTAGTATAGGTGTGCTGGTATGGATACCAGACGTGCAAAGAGGAAGGGGTAAGAAGATGTACCAGAGACTGAGTGGGGAGAAAACACACATATTCAGTGAACTATACTGCTGAGGGGAGCAGTGGATGAGACAGATATAGTCTCCTGTGGGTCAACAACCTGGCAGGGGATCCCAGTAAGCTTGTAAAGGATGATAATGCTGAGACTCAACCCCCTAGACCATCAGGAAGCCCTGACTTTTAACTTCTGAGACCACAACAAAAGAAAAAAAGTAAGCATCCTCCTCTCTACCAAAATAACTGACAATCATACTTCAGTGCTATTCTTTTCTTGATATCTTCCTTCTAAGTGTGACTACATAATTGGAATACACTCTATATTTTATGTTGGCCATATTATTAATGCCCTTGGATTTTCATAGTTCAATCTGCAAATCTGCAGTCCTGAAATATATTTTGAAAGTAGAGCTGAGGAATATGCCTTTAAAAACTCCTCTAAATTAGAAGGTGTTCCAAACTTGGCTCACAGTGTTTCCATGGTACCAGTACACCTAGCCCTCATCATGACTAAACAAAGAGCCTTGGATTCTGTATATAGTAGAGGGTGGCATTTTGCACACTATGGTTATTTTATTTTATTTTTTTGCACTTATTTGGTGTCTAAGAAATATAGACTCAGGTGAGGGTCTTGCTGCCACTGGCATCCATTTTGTGAATGCAAAAATATGTGAAAAATAATGCCTTTTATCAGCAAATGCTTAAGAAGACCAGAACTGAAGTTTTTGTCATTAGTGCTAAGTTACACGATTATTTTGAGATTTTCTGGTTATTGTCTGTGATTCAGAAGTTTCTGTACTACTTCACATTTGCCTCAACCAATTAAAAAAAAAGGTCAAATGAGTCTTTATGAATATAGGGTATGGGGCTGATGTGATGATATTTAGTAGTATTAGAAGTTAGCTGGTATATTTTGGGGGTGGGTAATTTGCAAAGCTGCTAACATTAAGTGCAAGTCACTAACATCCAAATCATTCTTTCTCTTCTTTCTTTGAACATACTATAAACTGCCTTCATAAGATTGCGAACACTGAAACGGCCTTTTTTTAAAATTAGCTTTGGATCTCAATGGCAATTCTCCATGTTGTGAAGTAATGCGATAATGATCATACAACACTTGAACTTAAGTAGACACTTTAAAAATGGTTGTGAGTCTTGCAAGGAAATACTCAAAGAACACAACAGTCTTAGACACTGAAAAGTGGCTAAAGATTTTGCTGAGAAAAATTCCAGGCTTCTTTCTTTCCTAATAACTGTTCTCTCAATATTGAAGGCATAAAATGTTGTATCAAGTAGGGTGCCTCTTCAGTAATGAATAGATGGAGTAGCTGCTTTGACTAGACAGATCGGACAAAGCCCTTGTGAAATTACGGCCTTGATATGAAATAGCACTATTCACTCATTCAAACAATAACATCCTCTTTCACAAAGAATAAAAACATCTCTTATAAGCACAGACACCTTTTCCTTGTCTTTTGACAACAAAAAACAACCAGAAGGAAACCATTCCCAAGTGGCTCTGTGTCTCCAAGCTTGCTTTCCTACTGTTGTTCATTAGGGAGTAAATGGACAATGAACTGTTCAAAGCTGCCTCCTATTATAAAAAAGCAAAACCCTATGTGTACCAACTTTTCTTTCTTCCCTTAGCCCCGGAAAATGCCACACTTTATTCTGATATAGGCATAGGTGGTACACATATCACATCATTGCTAATCTTTTGGACGCATGCCTAATACTTCCATGGGCAAATCATGCATGGCAAGGATAGAGCAAAATAAAGCCAATTTTTGTTTGCTTTTTTTTTCCCAAAAAAAATACAAACATTCAATTCTCACTATTGATTTCCTAGAAAACATTTTCTTCAGTAATCAGCCTCTTATTTTATAACTATTATACAATTGCAGGGACATGTTTTTGCGGGTCAGTGTTTCAGCAAGTACCTTTCAAGTTCCTGTTTGGAACAAAGCAGAAGACTTGCTGTGGTACAGAACTGAGGTGAGTGTTGGAGCATCACAGGCCTCAAGTAATTTGATCCTAAGCACACAAACACAGGCTTCCTCACTGGAAGCCATTTTGGCTTTCCAACGTCCCTGGTGAAACCAGGACCCAAATGTCTGTCTTCTTGCCCTTCTAACAGATGTCTGTGCCAAATTTTAAAGCCAGAGTCAGTCAGCACTCACCTCTCCTTCTCTGGGCCAAGGCCTTCCATTCTGGGTATATTTGCTTTGATTCTGTCGCTTCTTTTGTCCTCCATCAGCGAATTTGCACAGTAAAGGCTCACTAGGGGCTGGAAGATAAGAAACCAATTGGATATTAGAAATCCCCTTCAAAAATAAGTGATTATTTGAGTCACAGTCGTGCTGTGTAATGCATAGCGTTTGAAGTCATATTGCTTCTGGAGAGATCGCTGGCCCCCTCTTACTCTCCACTCTGTTGGCTGCTGTTCTAACTAACGGGCTTTCAAAAAACACTGGCAGACCATAAAAGAATAGAACCAATAGTGGAAAATAATCAGCTGAAACAGAACGTGAGCTTGCCTTAGAAGTTAAGAGGCAAGTCTCACTCCTTCTGTTTATGTTACAAACATTGGGAATGGTATTTGTATGTGGGTAAATATTCCTTCCTCAAAGCAACTGTGTTCATGATAGAAATTGTGGTTCTATTTTGGAAGGAGATCCTTTGGAGCTTATTCATAAAAAGAAAAGTATTTAGTAAATTGCAACCAATTTAGTTTTGTTTTCTTCTCAATCTTATCCAATTTCCAAAAGACCAGAAGTTGATTGTTCACCCAACCTCCTTCACACCAATAAAATCAAGTTAGAATGCTATCAAGAGCAATTATTAGAGTGTTAATATATGTGTACATATACATATTATATTAAAATGAACTTAGAATATGAACATATAGCCAGGGGTCATGATGTTAACCATAAATCATGGACTTGGGGGAACTGTGGTCTTCCTAAGTGGCTTCTGTAAACTTAGCTAAGATCCTGAAGGGTAGACCTCCCCATGGTGCTCAGGAAAAGGCTTTCCAAAACATGCCATTTTGGCATGTAGATCGTTTTGAGCTGAGTTCAGTGGATACCTTATAAGCCCATAAGAACTTTTTACTATTCCTTAGCTACCTAAAAGGAGGTATTTTCCAAATTAGAATTTTTACCAGAAATAACCTTTCTGTACAAGAAAGCTTCTCATCGGGGAGGGCAAATGTCGAGTTACAGATCATCCTGTCTTTGTCACATGAGTCCCTGCTTCCTTGGCATGGAAGTCCCCTCCAGTTTCCTTGAAGTCAGAAGCTACCAACCTGCTCTTAGCTTACAATATATGTCCTCATACTGCTCCACTGGCTTTGGAATCTACATCCAGGTAGAGTTTTTGTATACATGAATTTGTTCCTAGCCTGTCTAATTTGATTGTTACTAATCTGATGTAATTTGAATATTTGACTAGTCCCTGAAAAATCCAGAATATAAAGGAAATTTTCTCTCTCCCCATCCTTACACAGCAATACACACACACACACGCGCGCACATGTCTGTGTCTGTGTGTGTGTGTGTGTGTGTGTATAAAGAGAGAGAGAGACAGAGGGTTCCAATGCTAGTTTTTCTTCTTATTTTTAAAAAGATTTCTTTATTTAGGCATACAGAACTGGGGTGCAGGCCTGAGGTGCAGCGAGATGAGAGGATTCACTAGAGACAGAATGGGGAGCAGAACAGGCAGATCGAAGAAGTACACTACTGAGGGGAGTAGTGGGAGGGTCAGAAGAGGTATGTTGCACCCTGTGGATCACTTCCGGGGCTGGGGATGGAACTCACACTGAAGCTGCTGCAGCAAGCTTGCAGGGCTATATCCTAACCCGTTGCGCCACCAGGGAGGGCCATTTTTTTTTATATTAAATATATTAAATTACTGATGTTAACTTGGTCACTCAGTCAGTCCCAGAACCCAGAAGAGTTGGGAAAATTTTGTTTTCTGCCCTACAAGGTCCGATACTCCCGTGTGTACTAATATGCAATTGCCAACAATGACTGCTCCCTATTCCTTTTTTCCTAATTATGAATACCCTTATTTTTTTAACTATTATTTTTCTCCACTCAATTGTAAGAGATCTATTGGTGTTTAAATCCATCAAAGCTGTATTTTATTACTAGGAAGTGCCATGCGCACAGCAATAAATTTCATTGAGAGCTTCCTTCTGCAGATCCTATATTAAAATGTTTAATGATAACAGTTCTAGAGACATATTCCCAGAGATCTCTTTCTATTAGAAGAGGTCACTTGTACCTCTTTAATGTGCTAAGTTCTAAAATAATCAAATGCAAATAATTTTATATCTACAAAGGCAGGGTTTTCCCCAGCTCCTATTTATATAAATGCATATGAAATAAATGCATAGAAAATATGTGCGTGCATATATGCTATACTATATTTACTTAAACACTGCCATCAATACACATATATTTTGAAAGCTTTTTTGTGAAAGCTGAAAATCTTGAATGAAGACAGTTTAATGCTTCCTTTAAGGAAGAAAATGGGTCCTAATGAAATATTAACCCTGGGATTTCAAAAAGTAGCCTTTATGTGAATGGTACAGATTTATCTGAAGAAAAGACTATCCTGGTGGGCTCACTGCATTCCTACACTCATTTATTCAGACATTTGGTTAATACTTTGCCATGTTTCAATTGCGGAGGCCAAAAGAACACTTGTCACAAAGCCTGTGATTTTCAGGGAGCCTAGTGCCTGAGTGGCAAAATTATTTTGCATAAGAATCTTTGAAACAAGTACTACCACATAATATTCTAGTTATTCAATATTCAAATATAGATACATATGAGGTTCTGGATGTTAAACCAACCTTGAAGTTTTCCATTACTGGCTAGTGTTAAATGCAATTTAAACACGGAAGGGATTAGAAAAAGACATGGATTGAGACTTTAACTTTCCAGTGAAAATACTTTGTGAATTGTATTTTACAGTATATTAGATATCTCAAATTTAAGCTATCCTGCTATCTGAGCATCTTCATAAGTTGTGATGCTTTTTAGCTTGATAATAATGGTCTGCTTATATTTATTGATATTGCTAAATTGACATATATGTTGGTACCTTATAAATTTGAAGATAATGATGTGGCTGAAATAGATAGCGCTTTAATACTTTACAAAAAAAATTAAAAAAAAAAATCATCAGAAACAAAATTCCAAGGGCCGATGGGAAATCCATCATGTTGTCATTAAAATCTAAGTATGTAATTCTGATTGTCATTTTTGCCAATGCAGATTAGGTGGATATTTCTTTGAGAGTGTAATAGTAAACATGAGCAAATTAGGTAAATTAAAACTTATATAATCTTCCATTTCTTAGGTGATTTCTAAATTTCTGAAATATGAAATGCAAATCTGGGTTTAGAAGATCAGAATTTGCTCTCCTTAATCATATCTTTGGCAGTCTCTTTCCACCCAGATTGGTTTACATATCTCTCACCTCTACAAACCCTCGTCTTCCTGGAATTTTCTTTCCCAGATCCATAAATATCCTCTCCCCTTGATAAACTCCTAATCAACCTCCAGAATGCAGCTCCAGTGACACATTTTGAGGAAGACTTTTGAGGATGACTTAACCTCATCTAACCAGAGTTAAAATACTACCTAGTGTTCACCTGGCAGACTTTCATAGGTTGAATACTGTTTCTGTTTGTGTTGAGTCCTTTCCCAGTAGCAATTACACTCCAGATTTGAGGAGGGAAGTGAGACTAGCAGAGATCAGCATAAAGTTTGTGTGCCTTGTGTGTGTGCATGTGTGTGCATATCAGTAATCGCACTTTGCAATAGGAATACATAATTCTTGTGGTCCCAGGACCAGCTGCAGGGCCATCCTTAGCAGGTATAATTGCTGAATCCCGGCCCCTCCTCAGACCCACTGAATCAAATTTGCATTGAATCAGACCCCCTGGTGATTCATGCACACACAAATTCATGAAGTTTGAGAAGCACTGATTTCACTATGACTGGTTCCTTAACTGAAGAAGGAATATATCTTAGTTTTAAACTTGAATCCTCTGATTAATGAGATGATTTCAGTGGTACATAAATATTATATTGTCTACAATTTCCTTATTGCAATAATATGGTCTCAATTTTGTTTAGTTTCTTTTAGCAGTAGTTAAAATAGAGACTAAATGAATGAGAGGCCTTTGTGGATGTAAGATGCTGTTAAAAGCCACAGATTGTAATGTGCTAGAAGACATTATGGTCTATCATGTAAATGGAGAGTGTTTAAAATATAATTATAAGAACGCATGACAATAAAGTTGCCTGGTAATTATGAAGGAGTAATTACTGTTTACTTGCTGAGAGGGGTATCTCTAGTCTTTTAAACTTTATATTAAACACAAAAACACAAAATACCCAATGTGTAAATTGATGAGATAATCTAAAGGCATACAGGATTTGCAATTTTAAGCAAGCAAACAAAACAACAAATATTTTGCTTTGCAAAAATAATGTAAACTATTGATTTTTGTTTAAATTTAACATCCCTTGGTTTTATGGGTCGCTATGAATGTATTCTCACATTAGAGTCTACAAGTAGATATTGACATGGATTTTAGCTGTCACATAATTACAATATCAGAATTTCTGCTACCTATTAGAAAATACGGGCATTTTTTATTTGTGACATTCAAGTTAGTTAAATTCTTCTGCAATGACAGAATGATTTTTTAAATCCCTATTGCCTAACTTACAACCTAAACAAACTTAAAAACCCTATTACCTAGCTTATAGAGAACACATTTATAAATTTGTCATTTCAAATAAACTATAAATTATAATGTAAGAAAAAAAAAGAAAAGGTCATGTTGCAAGAGTTGGATAGAAAATTTAACAACAGAAGTGTTTATTAGAGGGAACTTTTTTAAATTATTGGGGTGGGAGGGATAAACCAGGAACTCAGTTAAAACTTTGATCTAGGAACTAGCTTTGATTATTATTGACATGTGGATATTAATTCATTTTTAATTAAAAATAGATCAAATGTATAAAAGGTCCAAATTATTTCTGTAATATTCAGGGTGGTTTGTACACTAGAAAGATGTTTATACTAATGGATTAAAAGATGATACCAACTGAAAGGTATTAATCAAATGAAGGAACATTTTTAATGTACACAGTTATTAAAAAATAAACAACTTCAGGGCCCTCCCTGGTGGAAAACAGGTTAAAGCACAGCACTATGAGCTATCCACAGACACTGCAGCATGAGTTTGATCCCTGTTCAGGG